TGGTCCAGTGGAACCCAACTTGTGATTAATGACGTCCACCAGTGTCTTTGAGGCGAGTCACATGGCAGATGCATATTTTCTTGGCGACGTAGAAGGCAGTCACGTCTGTTAATTCAGGTCGTTTTCGAATTGGTGCGCTCAGAATATGACCCCAGAGGGACATCTTGCACATTGTTCGCTCCGTCGTTTGCGTGACCTTCAACTTATTTTCCTCCGCTTTAGTGGCAAGCCAACATTCAGCGTCGTAGATCAAGGCGGATAGGACGGTTGAACTGAGCAGTTCTTCGCCCTCCTGGGCAGATGGCTGTCCACTAACGATGGTCTAATACGTTTAAAGACGTCTACCTTCTTCGGCTAATGTTCCCTTCCAAAGAGTTCAGATGCTACAACTGAAGGCCAAGGTATACACAGCTGGTAAATTCTATGAGTTCTTGGCCATTCGCGTAGACAGTGCCCTTGGTAAAACATTCGTTTCGTATGACTTTCGTATTGGAAAGTCCAAACTGTCAAACCGATTGTGAGAGATTCTTCTTGCAACTGTCACATATTGTTTTAGCTTCATCCTGTCTTATGCAAAGATGACGCAATCATCCGCAAATAACAACTGCGCTAGATGCTCTCCATCAGTATCGATGGATGCCGTTAGACCAGTTTAGCCGGTTGAACAGTGACTCCAAGGCCTGGTCGAAGAGCGCTTGAGAAGATATTTCGCTGAAGTACTCATAAATGGATCCTGATACGAGCTGGTTCGCTCCACTGCTTTATGTCAGTCGTGGAATCAGTGTTAAATTCCTCGATCTGGAGGGAAGTTATGCACAAGATAAATGTTCGTAGCACGCTCCTCAGGCTCGAGATGATTCACTGAGTCTAACTTATTTTTCAGGGATATATCTGAGCCATGATGATCTGCTGGTTACTATTATTTGATTGCACAGATGCAGAAGAACTTCTTGTACAATACTTGCTATCTGCCTTCGACTCAATACGATGTTGTATCAGACAGAAAGGACGTCGAAGGAGATTGGTTCGGTATTAATAACTAACGACGTTATAATAAAACGAATACATGCAGGCTTACATAATGAATATAAAATTATAACCCATTCAAAAAATAACTCACCTGTGTGGCCATTTGCCAACTTTTTCAACGGATCGGATGCGTAGCGTTGACTGGTGCCGGATTTGTGTCTATTGGCAGCATTAGCGAGTCGCAATTCGACTTCTCCAATCAACTAAACATCACGTCAAAGTATACAACATAAGCAGAGTCACGAATGCGTACTGGTTTTGTTGGGGTTTCTGGCGACGCCGGTGTGCTGGGTGATGGGGCAGAAAAGAAATAATCTTCTGGATCTACAACTTCAGGATCATCCACTAACTTTCTAATTAAGTCCTTCTGATCCTGCGGTGTAAATGATGGAAGTTTAAGTAAAGCATCGCCCTAAAATTCATTTCGTAAGTTTGAACTCAAACAAAACAATGTATAAATTCTTGGCACCTCGATGACCAAGTATCGGCCTGGATCCTTGGACATATTTACAAATGCGTCATGAAGTTCCTTGAAAGTTGGACGCGCATCAGCGTCCACCATCCAGCCTAAATAATAAACAGTACATTTGTTGTAAAAAGCGGATTTTGTTTTAGCAACTTACATCTGATCAGCATCATATACACTTCTAAAGTAGCTATTTTTGGCTGAGGTAGACGTTCTCCGTTTTGTAGCCTTGCCGGAATTTCGTGGAGAGGAATATCTTTGTAGGGTTTATCACAGAAGGTAAATAATTCCCACGCAGTAACGCCTAAAACGACGTTGAAACTTTTGCCATAAATAGGAAACGTGAATCGTACCAAAGGCCCAAACATCTGATTTATGGGTGTACCTTTTGTATTGAATACACTCTAACGCTAACCATTTGATTGGCATCTGAAAATAATTTCTGCGCTCAAGAGACCAGGTTGAAACTCTGATTTATCAGTCACCTTTCCTTCATAGATTTTTATCTCGTCTTGACCGTAATCAAGCAATTTTGCCAATCCAAAGTCTGTGATCCGCACGTGATACGGATTTTGAACAAGCACGTTTCGTGCAGCTAAATCACGATGAACAAGGCGGTGTTCTTCAAGGTAGTTCATTCCCTATAAGTTTACTGTGGTCATGCGTATATTCGAGTATGGTAGATCAGAAAGAGGATACTTTGGAAATTTGAGCACACCAACGGATAAGTGCAGCAGAGCCTATTTTACTCTTGTTATTTTGAACATATTCCAACAGATTTCCCAGCGGCATCAGCGGGGTTACCATCATCATCTGCTGACTGAAGCATACGCCGATGAGCCGCACCAAATAAGGGTCAGACATGCTGGCCATGATGCCCGCTTCCTCTAACATCTCTTTCTCAGCAACAGCGTTAGACTCATGCAGCACCTTGATAGCGACGGGAATCTTCACCTTTTGTCCTTCTGGGATCCAAACTCCCTAAACTCTCTCTTTTACTAAAAGCACGACAAACTCTACCGCTGACAGATCTTACTCGAAATACGGTACCAAACGCACCATAGCCAAGGACACTGCCTTTGTTAAGTTCGTATTCCTTGATTAAGTTCAGACGTGCAAGGTTTGGAGCAGCATCAGCATTGATCTCGAACTTCACTTCCATTTCGTCCATATGATGCATTAACGTCACCTTTCGGTGATAGAACCACGCAGCTGTACCAACGGCGAGTATGACTAACGCCAGCAGTCCGAACACGGTTCCAAAGACAACCTGATTTCTCTTTTGCCTGAAGTCACAAAGATTTTAAGGATAGTTAAAACATGTAAGTTATTTAAGGACGAATTGAGAGCTACTTAAAAAAACAATAAGTTCAGGCGATAAATTGAGGATTGAAAGACATCAAAGCTTCTGTGAAGCAAAAAGTAATAGACGAAAAGTTTCAAAATCTGACTTTCATATTTGAAAAAGTACATGAGATGAATCACAGAGTGCCATAAATGGCCGCTAGAAAATAGGCTGATATCAAAATTTAAAACTGAAAATACCGATTTGGCACAAAACTACTTTCATTTACTCAAAAAGTCATTACATTTTCTGAGGAAGGCAGAGAGGCTGCAATAAGCATACCTGGCAAAAAGTTGAGGTACACTTCTACCTTTCAGTTTTCATTACACTTATCCTTAGAGCAATTGGTCTAAAATTTCTGCCACAGCCCAATATAGTAAAACCTCTCTAATTCGAGAAAGATGCGCCAAACATGTAGTTGATTACAGAATGGACAAATGTGTGAGAATGCATATAAATTTTATGACAAAACCACTACTAGCATGCCGACCTTCTTCAGTGCAAATTAATCATCTTTAATTATAGTAGATATATTTTAAACTGATTCATTTCGAACCACAAGACTCGTCAAACTTACCTGTGTGTGTGTGTGTGATGTAGCGGTACAGTGCCTAAGGGGAGGGCATCGAATCCGAACTGCCGTGTTCAATATCGCAGGAAGAGGAATCCTGGTCTTAACAACGAATTCCCTTGAGAAAGGAAATTACCCAACGTCGTTTCAGGCTGGATTTGCTAAGTCGATAAAGAGATGGACTCAAAATCGAGACGTCCGAGGTTCGAAACCTCGGTTAGGGTCACCCACGTTCCTGTTTTCAGAGGTTGATAAGTGAGCATATTCTATCGGAATGAAACAGGTGATCACAAGCTATGGTCGCCACCTGGTTATTGACGAATCTGCCTTTACAAAATAAAACACTTGGTTGATGGCATGGAAATGGGGATCAGCGCTTGACCATTATTCTAATGAAAAGAGGGCCGCCAGAAATGGTTCCATCATGGAAACATAAGGAAGAGCGATATTCCAATCGTGCCAACGTCCTTCTTTACCTTACGTATACAGTTACATTTGTGAAACTGACCTGAAATGAAAGGGGCAAATTAAGTGCTAAAACCGGAACTCGCAGTACGTCATGAAACTTTCCTAATGAATTGGATCTTACGGCTTGTTCTGAACTTGCACAAACATAAATCATCAAAAGTAGATCCTTATTTTACTCCAGATGTAACTCTAATCTACTATTTGAAACCATTGGTGATCTACGAGTTGAGTAAGCCATCAAATTTACCTTTCTTTCTGTAGCAGCACTTCGTCGACATGTGAACAAACATTTTCAGCCGTGACAAATGGCCTTTCCGGTGGGCATTCGGCAGTACAGTTGAACTTAAGAATATCTGCAGTCAGAAGCAAGATACTTGAAGTAAACATTTACATGATTGTCCTCCAGGTAATCCAAGTATGATCGACATCGGAAGCAGTCGACAGATTCGGTACCGTTGCATTCGAGGCACTCTTTGTGACATGGGATGCACTGTGGAACTTCATATTCATTGCTTCGGTTGACGAAAGTGTTACTTAAAACCGAAGACTTGGATTCAGTACAGAAGTAGGAGATGTTGGACCTACTCAGGGCACTGCAAGACGCACTCGGCGTGATCCACTGATCTCCTGTACACGAAGCTCGAACATCGACACTGATTGAATCTGACCGACGTTCCATAACTGTAACAAGTTTTGCAGGCGGGATGGCATTTCTTGCATATCTTAAGGAAAAAACGTTGTAGCGATATACGGACAAAAGACATATGCATTATATTCTTAAATTACGTCATAAAAACAGTTTCTTAATGAAAACTCAAAGTAAAGGCGTAATTCCTCAGATGTTCAATCATCCTCCTGTGATTTGCAAATTCGTATGGGTGATAAATAAACAGATAAATAATGATGCAACGGTTTCAAGAATAAGAAACTTCATATCAAATGTACTGACGTTTGTAGTGTATCGCCATACGTAATACCATCATATCTGTATAGACGATTTAACTGATAGCGTGCGTGTTTAATGAAATATTGCGTTGTTCACAAAACTAACGAAACCAAACTTCATAATTAGTCATCAGCGAGTTTCAACTCATATTTCACTTATTTTCTAATACATGCTTGCTCCATCAACCACTAAAGCCTGATTAATTCAGCATCGATAGCTCTATCAGGACAAAAGGCTCATTACATGTTATTGACAGAAGCTGTACAGCGTACAGAAGATAAATAGAAAAGTCAATACAAAGTAAAATAAATTCCCACGCCTAATGCCAAATTATTTATAAGCAACTTCTCCTGACTTGGGCTGCTTGAAAACTTAAACGAGAAACGACACAGCTGGCCAAAGACAGCTCTGCATATCTATAAGGCTCTGTCAACAGCCTTAGGTGGACTCAGAGTTATGGGACGTCAAAAGGTGCGTGCATGAACTTAGAGTGCAAAGGATGATAAAGAACAAAAAATTAAGTTTTCATTTGTCGATTTTTCGTGTTGCATAATGTTGACATATGTCGAGGCACGCAAAGCGGCAGCTATAGCAATGGCAAAAACCAAGGCTGATTAGTGGGAGAAGTTCGGAGAGGTATTGGAGTCGAATTTCCACACGGCAAACAAAGTATTCTGGCAGACCATCCGCCGGCTCCGAGGTG